GGTATTTATAGCCCCAAGTGCTGACATGTATCTGCACATGTAAGCCTCTCATTGGCCCACGTGGTACTGCCCACGTGGGTATGTCTCCTCCTCTTGGGCCTGCGGGTGCGTAATTGGGCCTGCTGCATGTGGCCCTAAGAGGGCGTTGGGCCTAATCCCAACATTACTCCCCCCCAGTGTTCGGTTGACGAACTGGGATGGATGTAGTCTCAGGCCGACATTGTTGGGTTGGCTCGATCCTCGCCGAAAGGTAAAACAAGAAGAGGCGAGCTCGCGAGCTTGAAAACGTGTGGGCGAGCAGGTACCCAGAGCCATATCAATTTGGGTTCGTTATGGTGGCGAGTTGAAGTGACTCGTCACAGATGAGCTCGCGTGCAGTGTGCCACTCGATCAGCTCGTCCATGTGGCGACCTGACCTCTTGCATACCACCGAGGTGCGACCAGGTGACGCTCAGCTGGATATGATCACGAGGTGAGGCGAGCGCCACCACATCCAATGCGACCTGGGGCATCCATTGATTTATTCGAAGGTTTGCGGCCTGTGTGAGCTGCAACCTGTGTGACGAGCTGAATCCTGGGAAAATTTTAGCAACACACCTACGCTTGTGAACGAATTGGCCCGGTTGAGCCGATCTGGCGAATATGTCATCTTTGTGACGATTTGGTAAGTGTGCTCACTATGGCGAGCTGATGTGACAGTACAAGGTACACATCAGCAGTGACGATCTGAATCTTGGGATTTTTTGAATTACACAGATCTGTGAGGAGATACGGTTGATCTTCCCATATCCCTTTGTCTTCCCCGTCATAAATGCTGGCTCAGCATTTGAGGGACGTGACAGCTAGAGCCAGCGCACGTTATGCAGAAGGGACGTTAAGCGTGTGCCACGTGTATGACGCGAATTGGCGCGTCAGAAACACGCGTACGGCAATTAACGCTACCATATCCTTCTCTGCGTAACCGTTTTCCCTTTTCATTTTCATTTCTGCATTTTGCTTAAACTCCCTAAAATTCTCTGAAGCGAAACGCTCCAACTCGAAGAACAGCACACCGAATCGACTTCACGTCAGTTTTAGGTAAAAATGGTTTCATTGAGAGAACTCACAGAGCAACGAGGTAACCAGGGTAGAGATGGGGAAGAGGAAGGGGTTTTAGCCGTGGAGCCTATCACTATGATAGTGCCACCGGAGTTGCAGGATGTACCGGAAACAGTGACGCCTGAGAGCAGCGCCAGTTCCCGCGCCAGAGACGACGGTGACAACCACCCTAGTGCATCGCCAAGCAGCTCGTCTACGGAAGAGACACCCAGCCGTGAAGAGGGGGCGGGGGATTTGGTGAGTAGTGTCTCAGACCGGCCGGTTATTGGGGAATGGGAAAGTGCGACGATCCCGGGCAGGTTGAGTAACCTACGGAAAGCGCCGAAGGACCTGCCCGGTGGATTAAGGTTCAAGGCTGCACTTCATCACGAAGTAGTAGATTGTACGCCCTCCATAAGTGGGTATAAACGGTTGGAGGAGATGGTGAGGGCGTACCAAATCCCCAAGACCATATTGATGCGGACAGGCGGGCAGAACGAAAGAGCGTGTACAGTGTCGCGAAAGGCTGGATACCAGTGTACATGGACCACTTTGACGCCGGACTGCGATTTCCCTTGCCCGGACTGGTGTTCGACCTGCTAGCGGAGTACGAGCTGGCGCTGACGCAGCTAACGCCCAACAGCATAAGGTTCATCATAGGCTTTATGCTGTTGTGCGCAAGATTGGAGGTGCCAGCTAAAGCAATAGTGTTCAGGTCGCTATTCCAGTGCCGATTGTGCCCGAACTCACGAGG